CCCAGCCCTGCCCTTAGGGGGCGGGGCGCCGCTGGGGGTGGGTCCTGCGGCACCGCCCGGGAAGCTGCAAGAGGCTCGCCGGCGGCCACCACATCCTCCTCCTTCTGGTCCCGCGAGTGTAACCCGGCCAGGCCCAAGCTGCGGCTCCGACGGCGTGGGCGAGCGACGTCGAGCCATGGCGCACCAGACGGGCATCCACGGTGAGGGCGGATGTCAGACAGGCAGGGGGCCTAGGGGTCGGCTTTCAGCCCCTTCCTCCTCCTTGCATCAGCTTGAAGGAAGCTTCCTGTTCTCTGCAGCCGCCTGGGGTGGGCACATGTCGGGGAGTGCCGTGCATAGTCAGGAGTGGGCGCGCACAGCTGGGGTGGAGGTATCGGTGTACCCGTCCGGGGGTGGATATACCTGTAGGTACTCCTCTTGTGTCTTGTTCCTTTCCGGGGGTTGGCCATACCCGGATGTGCACATCTGGGAGAGTGTATACGCATGTGCACATGTCTCACTCCACAGCCCTTGTGTGCACATCTGGATGTGACTTGCTTGTAACATCTAGGGTTATTCATGCACATGCACGGGTGGCTGTTTGGACACCGTAGGTGGCATGGGACCATCTTAGACATCACCGATTCGTGGCGTTGCACACGTTTGTGGGTGTCTCTGTGTGTGCATAGTTGGAGCGCATCTCAGCGTTCATTTGTTACCATGGATCCTTGCACGGGATGTGCCTTATGGCTTGTACAGGCTTGTGTATGTGTGAGGAGAGGGTCCAGACCTTTGCTCCTCTCAGGACTGTAGCACTCCTTCAGGTCAGGCTGGGGGAAACCTGGAATAGGGCCTTCTAAGGTGCATGGGGAGAGTTGCCAACCTGACCTTGACCTCTGACCTCCCTCCTATTTTCCACTGTGATCTCCTGAGTCTGCCACAGCCAGAGTTGGAAAGTCCCAGCTCCCGTCAGGAGGCAGAAAAGAGGATCCAGATAAGGGTGTAGTTGGGGAGGTCCTAGAGAATCCAGGTCAGCTCCCACCCCCATCCCCGGGGAGCTCCTATATTCCAGTGCATCACACACACAGCCCCTCTTCCTGGGACCCCAGTTGGACAGGCTGGGAGAAAAGCAATGGCTGGGAGCCAGGTGCATTGGCCCTCCCCAGGCCTCAGTGTCCCCATCTGTCACTGGCCTGGGAGGGTTACTTAGCCTGGGAAGGGCCTGGGCCACTTGCCTACACAGCCTAGTGGTTTTGCCATCAGCCACTCTGCCACCACACCCCTGCCTAGGGCTGTCACCATCGACCTGCCTGACCGCCTGGATCTCAGCTTGTGGTTGTGGTCAGTTAGTGACTACACTGCCCAAAGAGGGTTTCCCTAGCCCCGCCCCTGCTCCTGCTCCCACCCTGCTGGACCAGAGAACACGGGCCTGGTTGAGGGCCAGCCTTCCCACAGGGAGAAACTGCTGCGGGGTCTGCTCCTTCCTTCACCTTTGTCTAGTCACAGCTGCTGGCCACCTCCAGCTGTGGAAGTTAGGCACAGCTATTCCCTGCTGACAGGCTTGGCTGGGGGAGCACTGGGGACTGGGCTGACCCCAGCCTTCCTTCTGCCTGTGCACAGCCCACCTTCCTATTTCAAGCCAGGAGAGGTGTCAGGGGAGATCACCCTGGAGCACCAGGGGCCAGCCCTGTCCTGGCCATAGGTGTAGAGCTGCTGACCTCAGAGCAGGGCCAGGGAGGTACCGTAACCTGAGGCTTACTGGACTTGGGAGGCTGGGCAAGCTGGGGGTCAAGTCATGAATCTTTGATGGCAGAGGCTCAGGTGTCCCAGGCCTGGCCTCTGGATTATTGATGGTGGCTGGGGAGGGATTGGGGTAGGGTGGGAAGTCTCTTCCCCTGCTTGGGTGTCAGTTTCCCTGGGAGCACTAGAGCACTCATCAGCCTCTCCCTCTGGGGAGCTTCCTTGTCTCCGCTCCCAAGGTCTGATTAGGTAGAAAGGGCCGCTTAGCACAGCCTGCCCTCCACCCTCACCAAGTGATTAATCAGGGGCCATTCCTGTGCACTTTATCCCTCTCCTCCTCACCACAGCCCCCTAGAGTTTAGGATATTTCCTTCCATGTACAGGAGGTTCAGGGACAGCAAGGGTCACACAGCTAAGGGAGATGTGGAGCCGTCAGAGGCTTGATGCTTCCAGGACCTGCTTGGGGGTCTACTGATTGGAAGTTCTGCCCTGGCCCAGAGCCTGTGTGAGCCTGCTGGGCTCGATGGGGTCTTTGCACGGGCCAGTGGCCTTGGAGGGTGGTGTATAGCCTGAGGGCTCTGGCTCAGGGTCACTCTGTGAGGGGCATTTGAGGACATGGCCAGAGTGTGTTTTCCCAAAGCTGCCCCTTGAGCTGCCCAATCCAGGCCCTATAAATACTCTCTGACCTCAGCCTTCCAGCTGTGTTCCTGCTGGGATTCTCCTGACCCCTGGGCAGCCTCAAGGTCAGGCTGGCCTGGCCCTGCTCACCCAGAGACCCAAACAGGCCGTTCACCTTGGTTTCCCTGTCCACCACCACTAGTGGCTCTGAGACTATCTATGGATCCCTAGCTCCAGTTGTGATCTTCACCTTCCAACTCTGGAGCCCAAGGTCCAAGGTGGAGTCTCTTTCCTAGCACCACTCCTCCAGGAAACCTTCCCTGGTATCTGAGGGCTGAAGGCACATTGCCCTCTGGCAGGGCAGGGCTGTGCCAGGGCTGGGGATAGCGCCTCAGGGCCTCCTCAGGGTATGGAACCTGGCTGGGCGCTGAGGCTGTGTCATGTGTGTCTGTTTCTGTGTACCCTTCAGATGTCCACTGGCCTAGACACATGTCCTAGCAGGCTTTTCAGTTGCCTACTTGTATGTTAGCAAGCTAGGGATGCGTGTGTGTGTGTGTGTGTGTGTGTGTGTGTGTGTCTAAACGTGTGTTCAGGGCCAGGGATTTAGCTCAGTGGTTCCACCGCCTGCCTCGCAAGTGTAAGGTCCTGAGTTCCATCCCCGGTACCAAAAAAAAAAAAAATTAGGTAATAAAGTAGGTAATGTGTGTTCACTTGTTTGGCCAGTTGAGGGTGTGTTCTTGCACAAGGTGTTTGTGTTTATGCTCTTCTCTGTCTTACACAAGTTTTAGATCCACACATGTAGGACTTAGCATGCCTTGGCACATGCAGTGTGCGCATGAGTGAGTGGACCTAATGGTCAGTGCGCAGCAGGGGCACTTATCTGTGTTCCTTTGTGGATGTGACAGTGCTGGGAGTGTCTGAGGCCAGCACACTGCTGGGCCTTCACAGGGGCAGGGGACAGGCGAAGCCCATTCACTCTCATGGCCCGGTTTGCCCAGGAGCTTGGCCTGTCTTTGGGTGGGCTGTCCTATCCCTGTCTGCCCCTCCCTGTCACCAGAGTTGTTCCAGCCAGCAGGCCACCCGCTTCCACTTCTGCTGGCTAAATTTGGGAGCTTGTGTTCAGTGGCCATCTCGAGTTCCAGTCACATGGGGGAGCATATTTAATCCTCTTCCCAGCTCAGCCACCAGACCCCACAGAACAGAGCAGGCCCTAGATTCATCCCTTCCTCTCTGCCTGCTCATTCCTCACCATGTTTCTTGTTCTTGTAGCCACAGAGGAGCTTAAGGAATTCTTTGCCAAGGCACGGGCTGGCTCTGTCCGGCTCATCAAAGTCATCATCGAGGACGGTGAGTGACCCCACAGCTGGGGCACAGGTTGAGGGGGGACCCATTTACTTCTGGGAGGTGGTAATTTTGGGCCTCCAGCCCCTTCAGGACCTCAGTTTCCCATATGGGGGTGGTGGTGAGGCCACTCACAAGAGCACCTCAGGAGGGAGAGTTGGAAGTAGACACAGTTGCCACCTCTTCACGCCCTGTCCTGGGGCCTGCCTGTCTTCCCAGCGGTGGGGAGGTAAACTGTGATGGGCCCAGTCAGAGCTCTGAGCTTGGTAGCACGGTACAGGAGATGAGTACCAGGCACTGCCACATAGGCTATTAGCGCTCACTTCCACCCACTCACCATCAGCAACCTGGCCTAGCCCGGCTGCTTCCCTTCTGGAGATCCTTCCCTTGGGAGATCGCTGTGATGGGGAGAAGGAGCTTGTGTCCAGCTCATTCTGTGAGCAGCATGGGGCTTGGGGTTGGCAGGGCCTCGGGCTGGACCCTGAGACTTAGGGTTGTACAGGGTGGTGCCAGGGTGCAGGGGCTTGAGCTGAGGCCTGAAGTGGGGAAGGTTCTGTTGGGTCTATTAGACTTGGCTAAGGGGTTGGGAGTAAAGGACTCCTCCTGCATTTCTTCTGTGCCAAGGGACTGTTCTTAACAATGAAGGCTACAGACTCAGGGACTGGGCTTGGCCAGGCCTCCCAGGGGTCCAGCCCTTCTCAGTAGCCATGCTGTGGTGGCCCTTTAGAGGCTGCCCTCCATGGGCTTGGTGCCCAGTTCACCTTAGCAGGAGCTTACCAGATCCAATTTTTTTTTTCTTTTTTTTCTAGCAAAACATTAATTGTACATTTTAGACATACATGATGATAACACTCCCAGATCCAAAATTTACCTCAGGCTTTAAGACCATGGTTGTGCTGAGCTTTGTCCAGTGTCCTCAAATTCAGATGCCTTCATAGCCTGCTAGGGGACACAGGTAGGTCATGAGTACAGCCTCCACCCCAGTCCTTGGCCCTTTCCCAGTCTCCCAGACAAGATGTAAGATCTTAAGCAGGAGGAATCTCTAGGTGGGCTCTTATCAGTTCTGCACTATAGTTGTTGGGGTACCTGGGAATGTCCAGAGTGTGACTGGAGCTCCTGAGATTTCCAGAGAAGCTGAGAATTCCACTTACGCTTTTGATTTTGGTTTGGTTTGGTTTGGTTTGGTTTGGGCTTGGTTTGGCTTTGTTTTGTTTTTGTTTTGAGACAAGGTCACTATGTAGTTCAGGCTGACCTTGAACTCACTGTGTAGCCTAGGCTGGCCTTGAATCTGCTTCAATCCTTCTACATCAGCCTCCCAAGTGCTAGGATTACAGGCCTGCACCACCACACTCAACCTGGTTTTTGGGTTTTTTTTGTACTGGGATCGAACTCAGGTCCTTGAGCTTGCGCAGCAGGCAGAGAAACCACTGAGTTAAATCCCCAGCCCCCCTGGTTTGTTTTCTTGAGATAGTCTTGCTTTGTAGCCCAGGCTGACCCTAAACTTGTGATCCCCCTGCCTCAGGCTCCTAATTGTTATGATTATAGGCATGCACCACCACACCTGGCTAGATTTCACTTCTTATGTAAAATTCCTGGTTTGAAAACATGAACAGCAAATTAAACACCACTGATAATGCTGTTGAGGCCCACTCAGCCTGTGACTACTGGTGTTTAACCCTGATCCCATGTGAATTCCAGGCTGGCGGGCAAGGAGCCAAGCCTGCAGTGACAGCGGGACCAGTAGGTTTAGCCTGCTGGGGCTCTCTGCACCTGGCCCCCTGGCCCCAGCACAAAGGCCTGCTGATGAGGCACTGGGCCTGGACTGGACTGGCTGATTTCCCCTTGGCCCAGTGCTTCCTCCAGCCTAGGTCTTTGGTACTCAGCTGAGGGCCCAGCCCACAGACACATCCTGATGTCCCTTCAGCCGCTCGACACAAGCTGGGGGTGACAGACCTGTCAGGCCCAAGCATTAAGAAGTTGGCCGACACTGGTTTGTGACTTTTGGAAAGGGAGCAGAGTACGGATGTGGTGTGGTAGCAGGATACTTCTTTCCTGGATGTGTTTATCCCTGCGGATCGCATGGCCTGGGCCTGTAATGCCACCTCCCCCCAACACATTTGCCCCGGAATGAGGAGAGGGTTCTGCTGGGCCTGAGCGGAGTGGGGAGGGGAGAGGAGATGCAGGGTGGAACTGTGCTCTGACCAGCTGTGTCTGTAGATGGGGTCAGAGTGGTACGTAGCTGTGTGAGTCTCGTGAGGTTCTGCGTGTCTTCATGTGGCTCTGGGGGTCAGGATGTATAGAGAAGCAGCCTTGCCCTTGTTCACTCACTTGTTAAGGACCTGTGGCGGAGTCCTTAGTAAGAGATGGTAGGGTGGGGGTGTTTCCAGTGACAGTGGGCTGGGGTAGCCAACAGGTCTGAGCTGGCCCTGGAGCCACAGGCACAGGTAGAAGATGGAGACAGCTACTCCGGCTCACCTGGCCTCTGCCCCCAGAGCAGCTCGTGCTGGGTGCCTCGCAGGAGCCCATGGGCCGCTGGGACCAAGACTATGACAGGGCTGTGCTGCCGCTGCTGGATGCTCAACAGCCCTGCTACATGCTCTTCCGCCTCGACTCACAGAACGCTCAGGGCTTCGAGTGGCTCTTCCTCGCCTGGTCACCTGATAATTCCCCTGTGAGTCACAGGGACCCCTGCCAGCCCCAGGCTTAGGGCCAGTGAGGCATGGGGAGGGCAGCTGGGATGAGTAGGGTAACAAGGTCCTGCGCCAGGGAGAGAATCTGGGGAGCTTGGGTTCCTTAGAGCCTTAACTTCAGAAGGCCAGGCTGTGGGCTTCCAAGGGCTCCCCCTGCTGGCGGTGCCTCCCTACTGCAGCTTTGTCTCGTGTTGCACCCCCTGCTGGCTGTGTAGGCACAGTGGTGACTGGGCCCTTGCCAGGGCTCCTGCATGCTTTTGCAAAGGCAGCCCTGCTCACAGGGCCTCACGGTTTGGCACACTTCGCTCCACCCCATCAGGTGCGGCTGAAGATGCTTTATGCCGCCACACGGGCCACAGTGAAGAAGGAGTTTGGGGGCGGCCACATCAAGGATGAGCTCTTTGGCACAGTGAAGGTAGGTGAAAGTAGCCACCCAGGCCTGTACACGGCATGCAGCCAGGATCATGGGCCCACAGAAAGTGGGGCATTGTACAGGCCACAGAGAACACCAGTGCAAGGCTCGGGGGTGAAATGGGAGGGCTGGGAGTCTAGCAGCTGCAAGCTGAGGTGCCCATTTATGCCTCTGGGTCTGCCCCAGGATGACCTCTCCTTTGCTGGGTACCAGAAGCACCTATCATCCTGTGCTGCCCCCGCCCCTCTGACTTCCGCAGAGAGAGAGCTCCAGCAGATCCGTATCAATGAGGTGGGTGTGCTGGGAGCCTATGTTCCTGCCGTGCCCTGGCTAGGTAGGTGTGGCCTTCCCTCACCATTGCCCTGCCCTTCAGGTGAAGACGGAGATCAGTGTGGAAAGCAAGCACCAGACACTGCAGGGCCTCGCCTTCCCCCTTCAGCCTGAGGCCCAGCGGGCACTTCAGCAGCTGAAGCAGAAGACCATCAACTACATTCAGCTGGTGGGTGCTCAGTCCTTCTCTGGTACACTCATTAGGTACACTGCCCCCCTGCTGCTCCTGCTCTCCATGTGCCCATGACATAGAGCCCTGCTCCCCCAGCCTAGCAGTCCAGCTGATCTGTGGACTCAGAGCATGCTGTCCTCCCCAGCCCTCTCTGTCCTGTGTTGGGTGTGTGAATGCACCTGCCCTCCTGTCCCCAGCCCAGTGCACACTGCCCTTTTCCTGACCCCTCAGCCCTGAGCCCCTTCTTGTCCCAGATTCCCTGTGCAGCCTTCCTTGGCCACTCCCTCTCCTCAGGCAGGATCCTTCTGTACCAGTGGTCCACAAGACCCCTTTCAAGCAGAATTGCTCTTCCCTTCTGAGACATTTCCCCCAGAGGCTTCACCTCAGGAGGAGCTGGCCCAGAGGCAGTGCCTCCCTGAGGTCGAGGCCTTTCCCACCACCCCATCCTCTGCCTTGTGGGCATCCCTTCTCCAGCGGAGCCTGCAAAGGAGTAGCAATAATGCAGGCCCAGGTGCCTCATGAAAGGGACCTGAGTGCCACAGCGGGATGGCACGAGGAGGAGAGTCCTGCCTGCCATCCAGTCTGACTTTGGGGTTGCTGTCGGGTAGAAGGATGCCCTCATGTCTGCCCCTGCTACTCCGCAGAAGCTGGACCTGGAGCGGGAGACCATCGAGCTGGTGCATACAGAGCCTACAGATGTGATCCAGCTGCCCTCCCGGGTACCCCGAGATGCTGCCCGCTACCACTTCTTCCTCTACAAGCACACCCATGAGGGTGACCCCCTTGAGTCTGTGGGTGAGTGCCCACTGCAGGGCCTTGGCCTCTGCTGAGCAGGAGCAGCCCCAGCCTGATGCTAGATGGATGGAAGTGTGCAGGTGCCTTGTCTGTACAGCTCACACCACCCCACCCCACCCCACCCCACAGTGTTCATCTACTCCATGCCGGGCTACAAGTGCAGCATCAAGGAGCGCATGCTCTACTCCAGCTGCAAGAGCCGCCTGCTTGACTCCGTAGAGCAAGACTTCCAGCTGGAGATCTCCAAGAAGGTGGGTGCCCATCCCCAGGGCCCATCACCCCAGCCTCTCTGTGGGCCATTGGAGTCCTGTATGATGGCAGAGCAGGACTCCTTGATTCCTTGCTGCCTTGTTGGACCCAAGGCTCCCCAGCCAACGGGTGGCACAGATAGGCCCAAGCCCCAGCTGCCATGACTCCTTTTCCTGGGTCTAGGGGCAGGAATGGAGTGACTCTGGGGTCAGCAGGGCCCAGGCTCTGTGTTCCTGAGGGTGTCATTCCAGGTGGGGTTCTGAAAGGAGCGCCCAGAGCTCAGTGAGAGAGAGAGAAAAGGGGCGCCCCAGGGGTAGAGGTTGCCAAGGGTGGTGTATGTCAGGGGCCTTCACTATTTGGGTGACTACTGCTTTACCCTGCACAGATTGAGATTGGCGATGGGGCAGAACTGACAGCTGAGTTCCTCTACGATGAGGTCCACCCCAAGCAACATGCCTTCAAGCAGGCCTTCGCCAAGCCCAAGGGCCCTGGGGGGAAGCGGGGCCACAAGCGCCTCATCCGGGGCCCAGGTGAGAACGGAGATGACAGCTAGGCAGCCAGACGGAGCCAGGCTGGCATGTGGACTGTGGGGTTGCCTGCCTCAGCTCCCTGTACCTCCCTCCTTCTCAGCCTGGGCTCCAGGGAGGTGCTGACTGCAGGGTGGGAGAGCTGGTGGCCGAACACTTGCAGCTTCCAAGGACCCCTGGCCAGCATTTTGTGACCCTTCCCCATTGCCGTCCCTGCTTCTCATATGTATGCCCAAAGTACCCAGGGCCCTCTCTGGTTGTGTCAAGGGGCCTGGATTAGGGGCTTGGCATAAACTGGCCTTCGGGGGACCTGAGGCTGGGGTCTCAGGACAGCCCAGAAGCCTCTGCCACAGTGGGTGGGGTGAGCTGAGCTGGGGCAGGGGTCACAGATGGTTGAATGCTGTATTTTCTAAAGAATAAAATATTTTTAAATCAGTCCTTGAGTCTGGCCCCAAGGGACCATCTCTGGCCCAGGAATTGGGTGGCCCTCTCCCAGCTCAGAAGCAGACTGTCGGCCTGCTGGGTGGGGCCCAGTGCTCCTAGCCACAGGGTTGTGGGAGAAGCCCTTACCGTGTGGGAGGCCAAGAGGCTGGCACACCTCCAACATCACATGGGATCTGGGTGTCTTGTTCCCCATGGCTGCTGTTACAGATCACCAAAACTTAGCAGCTTTAAAAAACAAGTTCATTCAAGACCAGCCTGGTCAATGTGATAAAACCCTGACTCAAGAAAAGCTTCATAAATTTACTACAGTGCAGTTTTGGAAGCCAAAAACAGGAAACAAGTTTTCCAGGGCTAAAGTCTAGCTGTTGGCAGGGCTGACTCCTACAGGCCTTGTGAAAATCCATTTCCTTGTTTTTCCCACTTCTAGAGGTTGCTTATATTCCTTGGCTTGTGGCCTCTTCCTCCATCTTCCAAGTCAGAGGCATCTTGTCCAAGTCTCTGCTCCCAGGGTCATGGCTCCCATGGCTTCTTCTGAAATCAGATCTCTCTGTCTGTGTGCCCCACCACTCCCCTGCCAGTGATCCAAGATAACCTCCTCATATCAAGATCCTTAGTTTAGATCTTAGCCACTTCCCTTTTGCCATGTAAGGAAGCATGTAGTCTATAATCCCAGTACTCTGGGAGGCTGAGGCAGGAGGATTTCAAGTTTAAGCCAAGCCTGGGCAATGTAGCAATTTAGGCTGGGAATGTAGCTTAGTGCTGGTTCAATCCAAAATACACAAAAGAGGGCCAGAGATTTAGCTCAGTGGTTCCACCGCCTGCCCTGTAAGCACAAGGACCTGAGTTCAATCCCCGGTACCAAAAAAATAAATAATAAATAAAAAAATACACAAAAGACAAGGAAGGAAAAACCCCCAACATTCAGAAAATTAGCATGTGGGTCAGCCCATGAGCATGTGTTTGTGCTTGTCTGGCACACACACACAGCTCTGTGGTTTGCACACTTCTGTCAGTGCCTCACCTGCTTTTCTACACCCAAGGGAGCCAGAGTGGCACTGGAGGTGCCAAGCAGAGACTGGAAATCTGTCCCAGGTTTGGGGTTTAGCAGGAGCCAGGGCTTCTGTGTAAACCTCTGAGAGGTAGGTGGAGACTTCTGTCCCAGATGGACAGGGCTGGACACATGCAGTTGATGACTGCCATCCAGCTGCTGAGTGGGGCACTGTCTTTTCTCCTAGCTCAGGCAATGTTCTATCCCTGGGGCCTCCCTTAGGCCCTACTGAAACCCCTGGGCTTGTTGAGGGGAGAGCTAGAACTCTAGCACGGACCTAGGGGAGGCTCACCCTTGCCCATCCCAGACGCCTGCTCCAGGTGGGCAGCTGCTGAGCCAGGTGGGCAGCTGCTGAGCCAGCTGGATGACTGGCACCTTGGAGCCTCCTGGCTATGACACCCACCCAGAAGTGAGCCCAGGAGGAGTGGGAAGGCAGATGTGCAGCCCTGCCTGCTCCCGGCAAAGCCCATTTGTAGGGGCCAGGATTTAGCTCAGTGGTTCCGGCGCCTGCCTGCCTCATAAGCGCAAGGTCCCAAGTTCGAGCCCTGGTACCAAAAAAAACCCCAAAAAACCATTTGTCCATTCACTCATTCGATTTCCACTTGGATACCCTCTCGGTGCCTGCCTAGAGCTGCATGCCAGTGGCCACAGCTTCAGCAAATACTCAGCACAGCTGTGTGCTGGGCACTGTGCCACATTCTGGGGACAATACAGGAGATCTGTCTCCCAAGAAGCTGGTGTTCCATCAAGGGAATAAGAGGATGCAATAACCATGAAGAGTCAACAGTACAGTGTAACCAACTGAAAAAGCGAAAAACAAAATAGGCAAAGGAGCTCAGAAGAGTCAGATTTGGGTTGGGAGTTGACTTTTAAAAAGGGTCAGGGTGGAGAGGGTGACATGCAGAGAGACCTAAAGAAGGAGGATACAGTCAGAGGGAAGAACAGGCTCACAGGCCTGAGGCAGGTGGGGCACAGGTGTGTCCTAGCAACCACCAGGAGGCCAGCATGGCTGCAGACAGGCCAGAAGTGGAAGGGCAAGTTCTCCAGAAATTTGGCCACTACAAGGACTGTGACTATGACCCCAGGGTCAATGAGGAGGATATAGGCAGAGGAGGGACCCACAGGACAGGTCCCCCCAGGGGTAGGATGGAAAGAGGCTGCACAGTGAGAAGAGCAAGGCAGCCAGGCTGCTCTGCCAGTGGAGTGGAGGTGGAGGGAGCAGACGCTAAAGGGCAGCCAACAGGACCTGAAGAGGGCTCTGGGGCACCCTGAGGCTTAGGGCCAGGAGCTCAGGAAAAGCTGGGTGGGGAGGAGCAGCCTCAGGAGCCCTGGCAGGACCACTGAGGTCTGGGTTCCCATGGGTGTCGGGAACTGGGAACGAGGGCAGGAGTCCCTGCTCCAGAAGAGCTGCATGCTGCCCACCACTGGGCTCTCGAGGCCACACAGAGCTCTGGAATAGAGCTCTAGGAAGCAGGAAAGTAAGGGTGGGAGAGTCACTGTCCTGAGAGGGGCTGAGGCTGAGGGTGAGTCAGCCCTCTTGGGACAGGGAGGAGCTGGCATGGGTGAGAACCCATGATGCTTGTGAACCTTCGGCAGGTTCTAGCCTTTGCTCTGCCCTGAACTTCCCAGAGCACAGATGTGAGGCCCACTGGGGACCTCTACTGTCTCGGGGGAGAGTGGAAAGAGGAAGGGGTGAAGGGGCTGTCAGTCACCTGACTCGCTGCTCACCACCTGCCCTACCCAGGTTTGGGTGAGGGGGAGCTGCTGGGCTGGCAGAGAAGTCTCACTTCCTCTCTTCTCAGAGAGGAGGGACACTCGATAGCTTGTACGCCGCATCCTTTCCCTACAGCTGTTACCCAGTCTACTGGCTAGACCCTCAGGAGAAGCCTCCACGTGCTGACATGGTAGGACAGTAGCCCTCAGCCCCCTTGAAAAGAGGACAGTGTGGGAAGGGGTGAGGAGGGAGGTGAGCCTAGCAGCTGCAGGCAACAGTGAAAGGAACTGTCACTCCCACAGGCCTGGGGACACTCACTGAACCCTGAAGGCACCAGAGCAGAGGCCTTCTCTGAGCAGAGATGTCAAAGCCGCTGGTAGATGAGACATCTGGGCTCTGTTGGTTTTACCCTAAGCAGGCTGGGAAAGGGAGGAGGGCAGCAGATGAAGGAGCTGGGTGATGCCCATGCTAGCCAGGGGCCTGGGGGGAAGCCAGCCTCAACCACAGCAGGAGACTCATCCTTGCTGGGGTCTTAATCAAAGGCAGGAGGATTTCAGGGTGACTGGAGGGAAGGGAGCCAGCTGCCGCTTTGTTTAGAAGGACAAAGTCTAATGGCCCCTAAGGAGAGGAAGGGAAAGCGGGCTAGGCTAGGGTCTGGTTTTGTGTGAAATCAGGACTCTATTGCAGGCTCAGTCCTGGTTCTGAGTCTACATTCAGAGTCAGAGATTGGGTAGGAGGCCAACTTGAAGTTCCCCATGGCACTGAGAGGATGAAAAGGGGCTTTGGCAGCTGGCAGAGCAGTAACAGGGAGGGTTTTGGAGGGGGGCTTGGAAGACCTATGTAGACCCCTGAAGGGGAGCAGGTGGGGGTGTGCTGGGGCACTCATACAGCCATTGGCCCCCACAGGCTTCCTGCCGAAGGATCCCGCAGCCCCTCTCTCTTCTAGTGCAGGCTGTGGCACTGGCTGAAGCCCTGGCCCTGGGAGCCCTGCCTGCCTTCCTACCCTGTGAGCTCCAGCCCCATGGTGTGGTGAACTGCAACTGGCTGTTCCTGAAGTCTGTGCCCCGCTTCTCTGCAGCAGCGCCTCGAAGCAATGTCACTAGCCTTTCTTTGCTCTCCAACCGCATCCACCACCTCCATAACTCTGACTTTGTCCACCTGCCCAACCTGCGGCATCTCAACCTTAAGTGGAATTGCCCGCCGACTGGCCTTAGCCCCATGCACTTCCCCTGCCACATGACCATCGAACCCAAGACCTTTCTAGCTGTGCCCACCCTAGAGGATCTGAACCTGAGCTACAATAGCATCACCACTGTTCCTGCCCTGCCCAGCTCCCTTGTGAACCTGACCCTGAGCCACACCAATATCCTGGTGCTGGACTCCACCAGCCTCACTGGCCTGCCTGCCCTGCGTGTCCTCTTCATGGATGGCAATTGCTACTACAAGAACCCATGCCATCAGGCACTGGAGGTGGCCCCAGGTGCCCTCCTGGGTCTGGGCAACCTCACCCACCTATCGCTCAAGTACAACAACCTCACAAAGGTGCCCCGTGACCTACCACCCAGTCTTGAGTTCCTGCTGCTGTCCTACAACCACATTTTTAAACTGGAGCCTGGGGACCTGGTCAACCTGACTGCCCTTCGAGTGCTTGATGTGGGTGGAAACTGTCGCCGCTGCGATCATGCCCGCAACCCTTGTGTGGAGTGCCTTAACAAAACCCTCCAGCTGCACCCCAACACCTTCAGCCACCTCAGCCACCTTGAAGGCCTGGTGTTGAAGGACAGTTCTCTCCACACTCTGGAACCCAGATGGTTCCGAGGTCTGGAGAACCTCACAGTGCTAGACCTGAGCGAGAACTTTCTCTATGACTCCATCACCAAAACCAGGGCCTTCCAGGGCCTGGCACGGCTGCGAAAGCTCAACCTGTCCTTCAATTACTGCAAAAGAGTGTCCTTTGCTCACCTGCAGCTAGCACCCTCCTTTGGGAACCTGACCTCCCTGCAGGAGCTAGACATGAATGGCATCTTCTTTCGGTCACTCAGTGAGAACACACTAAAGCCACTGACCCACTTGCCCCTGCTCCAGACTCTTAATCTGCAGATGAATTTCATCAACCAGGCCCAGCTCAGCATCTTTGGGGCTTTCCCTGGCCTTCGCTTTGTGGACCTGTCAGACAACCGCATCAGTGGAGCTCCAACCCAGAAGGGCCTTGGGGAGGCGGATGACAGGGAGCAGGTCTGGCTGGGGCCTGAGGACCTTGCTCCAGCCCCGCTGGGCAACCCCACGTCTGAAGACTTCATGCCTAGCTGCAAACACTTCCCATTCACCTTGGACCTGTCTGGAAACAACCTGGTGACTGTGAAGTCAGAGATGTTCACCAACCTCTCTCGCCTCCAGTGTCTGATCCTGAGCCACAACTGTATTGCACAGGCTGTCAACGGCTCACAGTTCCAGACACTGACCAGTCTACAGGTGTTGGACGTGTCCCATAACAAGCTGGACCTGTACCATGGGCACTCATTCACAGAGCTGCCACAGTTAAAGGCCCTGGATCTCAGTTACAACAGTCAGCCCTTCGGCATGCAGGGCATAGGCCACAATCTCAGCTTTGTGGCCCGGCTGCACAAACTGCAGTACCTCAGCCTGGCTCACAATGGCATCAACAGCCGTGTGAACCCTCGACTCTGCAGCAGCTCCCTGCGGGCCCTGGACTTCAGTGGCAACACCGTAAGCAGCATGTGGGCTGAGGGAGACCTCTACCTCCACTTCTTCCAAGGCCTCCAAGGCCTCCTCTGGCTGGACCTGTCCCACAACCACCTGCATACCCTCCTCCCCTGCAACCTGGACAGCCTCCCCAAGAGCCTGACACTTCTGCTTCTCCGTGACAATTACCTGGCCTTCTTCAACTGGAGCAGCCTGGTCCTCCTACCCAATCTGCAGACCCTGGACTTGGCAGGAAATCAGCTGAAGGCCCTGACCAATGGCACCCTCCCCAACGGCACACAGCTGCAGAGGCTGGACGTCAGCGGCAACAGCATCAGCTTTGTGGCTTCAGGCTTCTTTGCACTGGCTACTAAGCTGCGGGAGCTCAACCTCAGTGACAACATCCTCAGGACAATTGACTCCTCCTGGTTTGGGACCCTGGCAGGCAGCCTGAAAGTCCTGGACGTGAGTGCCAACCCCCTCCACTGTACCTGTGGGGCAGCCTTTGTGGACTTCCTGCTGGAGGTGCAGGCCGCTGTGCCTGGCCTGCCCAATCACATAAAGTGTGGCAGCCCCAGCCAGCTGCAGGGCCGCAGCATTTTCGCACAGGACCTGCGCCTCTGCCTGGATGAGGCCCTCTCCTGGTACTGCTTTGGCCTTTCACTCCTGGTGGTGGCTCTGGGCCTGGTGGTGCCAGTGCTGCAGCACCTTTGCGGCTGGGACCTCTGGTACTGCTTCCACTTGGGCCTGACCTGGCTCCCCAGGTGGGGCCCAAGTGGTGCCCAAGCCCTGCCCTATGATGCCTTTGTGATCTTCGACAAGACACAGGGTGCAGTGGCCGACTGGGTGTACCAGGAGCTGCGGGTGCAGCTGGAGGAGCGCCGTGGGTTCCGGGCGCTGCGCCTGTGCCTGGAGGAGCGCGACTGGGTGCCTGGAAAGACGCTCTTTGAGAACCTGTGGGCCTCCATCTATGGCAGCTGCAAGACAGTCTTTGTGCTGGCCCACACTGACCGGGTCAGTGGCCTCCTGCGCACCGGCTTCCTGCTGGCCCAGCAGCGCCTGCTGGAGGACCGCAAGGACATCGTGGTGCTGGTGATCCTCAGCCCTGATGCCCACCGCTCCCGCTATGTGCGGCTGCGCCAGCGCCTCTGCCACCGGAGTGTCCTCTTCTGGCCCCAGCAGCCCAGGGGTCAGGGCAGTTTCTGGGCCCAGCTGAGCACAGCCCTGACAAGGGACAACCGCCACTTCTATAACCAGAACTTCTGCAGGGGACTCGCAGCTGAGTAGCCCAGTGACCATTGGGTGTGGCTCCTCTGGCTCTTCCCTCGCTGCTTGCCCCCAGTGTGCGCCCTGCCTTGCCCCACAGCTCTACTGCTTTGCTCCCCACTCTGTGCAGCCAGCATACAGCAGATGCTCAATAAATGCTACAAGCGTGCTATTCCTGAGTTCTCTGGAGGTATGGGTGGGAGGAGAGGGGGAGAACGCTCCAGGTCTCCGTTAAGTGAAGAGTGGACAAGAGGCAGTTGGGAAAATGTCCTTAGAGAAAGACAGGGCCCACAGGACAAAAGCCTGGCTAAGGGCATGTTTATTTGCAGGCATTTGTAAGGCAGTCTGAAGATGGCCACTGAATGTGGACAGATCTCCTTTCCCTCTCAACCCTCCCTCCATCCCCTGCCTGCCCTTCCTGGTCAGCACCTCTCTCTCGAATGTTGGTCTCAGGTATCTGCCTCCCTCTCCTCAAGGGCACAGAAACTTCAGGCCTGTTTTTTCTGCCTCCTCCCCAGCAAACTCTTGAGAGTATGCCAGCCTAGGGCGACATTCATTCCCTAGGGGAAAAAAATGAGTTTATGGCAGGTTCTGAGGGGTGATTGCGCCCCCTGGTGGCCATGCTTCTGCTGCGTGGGGAAGGCTGGCCTAGGTGGGGAGAAGGGGTGTGTTTCCTGCAGCGGAGAGCTGGAAGCCACAGGGAACTCCCAGGTGAGCTCCCAATCCATTCCTTTCTGTTTTCACCCAATGGACCATATGGGGGTACCTGGGTACAAAGGTAAGTCCCCCTTCCTTGATCTTGCTTCTCAGATCTCATTGCACTGAGGCTGGAGTTGGAGTTACATCTGACAAGGATAAAGTATGTGTATCTATATCTTTTTTGCTGTCCTGGGGATTGAACCCAGGGCCTTCACGATGAGCTACAACCCTGCCCCCCCCCCACCTTTTTTTTTTTTTTGGTACCGGGGATCGAACTCAGGACCTTGAGCTTGCAAGGCAGGTGGTGGCACCACTGAGTTAAATCCCCAGCCGCCCCCCCCCCCTTTTGGGACAGACTCTTGCTATGTTGCCCAGGCTGGACTCAAACTTGTAGTCCTCCTGCCTCAGCCTCCCGAAGTGCTGGGACTACAGGTGTGTGCCATTGTGCCTAGCTGTTTTTGATATGCACTGTGGGTTTCAGGACACAGGGAGGAGACCAATGTTTGGAGAAAGCTTGTTCAGGGTCTGGATTCAACAAGTGCCTGGGTCGTGGATTTTGCCAGGCCCAGAGCCACTGAAGAGCCTTGTTGTAGGCTGGCTGCCTTCACTATTACCACACCAAACCTACCCTTTGAGGAGCAGGGGAGAAACAAGCAGCCTGGAGGAGCTGGAGTATGGAATGGCAGAACAGAATCAGTATGGCTAGGTAGGCCAGTCTGTGGGGAGGAGCGGGGCTGGCTGAAGAGTGTTATTTTTGCAGGCAAATATCAGGCAGCCCTAGTGTGTGTGGGTTGCTTCTCCTACCCCCACCCACACCCAGGGCAGAGCTGTGAGGGAAGTATGGGCCACCTTCCTCTTTCTGCCTACATAGAGCTTCCCACCATGGTGTCTCCTGTTATCTGCCCAAACAAAAGACAGAAAGAAGGTCTCTGACCTGTGTCAGAGACCTCATGTGGGTTCTGATTTATCTTGCTTCCTTGGCTCCCTGGGGAAAAGAGAAAAGCAAACAAGAACAGTCTTTTTGGTGCACGCCCATAATCCTAGCACTTGGGAGGCTGAAGCAAGAGGATTGCCAAGAGTTCGAAGCCATCCAGGGCTACATAGTGAGTTCAAGGTCAGCTTGTCACCAAAAGAAAAAGGAGGAAGAGGTGGAAAAAAAAAAAGAAAAGCAGTCCTTTGCGTGAGGGTGGAGTTCTGGGGAAGTCTCCAGTTAAATGACTTTGAGATTGTTCTTGAAATACCAGGGGCAGGAAGCAGTAAGCAGGGCCCTGTGCTGGGCACCATGTCTTGCTTGTAAGGAAGCAAAACCTACCTATCTCCCTGGACAGCAAGCCTGCCCTCTGGCAGTTCCAAGGTTACACCTTGTCTACCTGCCCCAAGGGCTGGCAACTCAGAAGCATTTCTGGGATGAAGCAGGGGGGCTGTGAAAGGGCTTGGTTTGGCTGAATGAGTTTGAGTCCCAGGCACTTGGCTCTGTGCTATCTATGGGACCCGAAGGGGCTGCACTGCACTATCTCAGGGCCTAGTGGAGATTTCTGAGCAGGACAGGGCAGAGCTGCAGGAGGGCTGCTCCCATTGTGCTGTGGTCAGGAAGCTGCTGGTGGTTGGCATAGGCCCCCTCCTCCATACCGCCACCATTCTCACCTATGAACACTGATAAGACTCCAGATGGCCAGGGACTCCCCCCCCCCCCCCCCGCCATTCAGGTTGTCTTGAGCAGGTGACCTTCCCTTTGGGAGCCTCAGTTTGCTCATCTATAAGGAAGTTGGCCAGAGCTATTCTGCAGTTGTAAGGGTTAGTGGTAATATGTGTAGAGGTCTGCAAAAACCTAACAGGGCCTCAGTTCTCATTATTAGGTATTGGAACTCTTTTTGAGATGGTCTTTTTATTTTATTTCTTTTTTTTTTTTTTTCCTGGTTTATTTATTTATTTATTTTGGTACTGGGGATCAAACTTGGGACCTTTTGTTTGTGAGGCAGGAACTGAAACCACCGAGCTAAATCCCTGGCCCCTTTTTTCTGGTTTTTTGAGACAGGGTCTTGCTATGTAGTACAGTACTGTAAGGCTGGCCTTGAACTCACTATGTCCAGACCAGCCTCAAACTTGTGGCAATCCTCCTGCCTCAGGCTCCTGAGTGCTGGGATTATAGGTCACACTAGGGATCAGGATTTATACTCAGGCCCATCAGCTGATATGGGTTCAATGGTTACCTCTCCACCCAAAGAGTGAACCCCTCGAAGCTGGGCCCCTGCTGAGAGCATTAGTGTCCAGAGGCAGGTGTGATGGAATCAGAGGCCTAGGAAGCTGGGGGTAAGAGCTCGCTCTCCCTGGGAGGATCTGGGGAGGCTGATGTTTCGTCCTCCTTTTTGGGAGAAATCAGTCCCAAACAAGTTGACTTAGGAAGAGGTGATAGAAGGAAGAAATTGTCAACGTGGAGAAAGTCTGTCCCTTAAGACTTAAACATGCAGGCTGGGGAAGGTGGCGCGTGGCTATAATCCCAGCACTCAGGAGGCCAAGCAGGAGGATCATGGTGAGTTTGTGGACAGCCTGGGCTACACAGTGAGACCCTGTCTTAAAAAACAACCAACAATAACAACAAAACATATAACTTATGCTCTCCCCATTAGGACTTTACTTGATGTCCTAAGCTGCTAAATTTTTTTTTTTTTTTGCTGCTAAATATTCTTGGAAAACTTCCACGACATAGCACAATAGTACAATTTATTTTTTTCTTTAATTTTTTTATTTTTCAGATTTCAGTATAATGTCCATATGTGTTTTACTCATAGTTTTTCAGTACATATAGGATATAAATTTTTTTAAGTCTACACCTGAAAAAGGTATTGTGTGAAATCATGATATATATTTGTTTGTTTTTGGTTTTTTTTGGTACCAGGGATCGAAGTCGGGTCCTTGCACTTACACAGCAGGTCGCGAAAGCACTGAGCTAAATCCCCGGCCCCATGACATATATTTGTTAGGTATTAATTCATGATGATGATTTTTCATTTAGGGAGAAATAATAATTTTTTTTAGTACTGGAGATTGAACTCAGGACCTTGCACTTGTGGAGGCAGGTTCGGTGCCACTGAGCTAAATCCCTGGTCCGACAGAGTACAGTTTCACACCAGACTAGCTTGTAAAAGTCAGGCTTCTTGGTTTTAAGCAGTTCACATATCCATCTACCCCCTGAGGATCCCTCATTCCCTCTCACAGACTTGGGAGGGGCAAGCAGTGAGGTAGGAACAGTGCCTGCTAGGATGAACAATCCTATCTGAAGTAAGTAGGCCAGGTATGTTCCAGGCACAGGAATGTGGGGGACAATGCAAAGCTCTGCAGCAGAGCTGGGAAAGTAGTTTTCTGAGCAGGAAGAAACCATATCTATGAGATTCTAAAGTGAGGCACTTAGATCACACCCAGTGGCCTGCCCATATAAATGGTTTATCTGATGTGACCATGACTCAGCTGGTGACTCCCCAGTGTGACCTGGCCAGGGCATTTGCCCAGCAAGCCCAGGTTCACTTCTAGCACAACTCTGCCTTAGGAGAGGTACAGCTATCCTTTCTGGGGCTACCAGAGGGGAGGATGGCCAAAGTATCCTCACTTCCAGCTGTGTTTTTTCTTCAGCTTACCTAATTTCTAGTAGACTTCGATGTCACCAGGGCCCACTTTGATTCACTCAACATGTGCGCTCAGTACCTAACATGTAGCAGGTTCTGTCCTGGCCTCAGAGGGGACAGAAATGAAAAGAAAGACAGGACAATTCTCCTCATAGAGATGACATAACAGCAGGGCAGAGGGTCAAAAGGGTCATTGTCGGTGGTAACCAGAGCTTTAAAGGACAGCCAGGCAGGAGGCCCAGCAATGCCCACCAACTCAAGAGGGCACACAGGCAGGCATGCACAGGGGTCTTCTCAGGGACCTTGTCCTGGGTAAAGGGACAGCTGCAGCGTGATCCAGTGGCAGGAAAACGCAAGCAAAAACTGGTCAACACTGACACTGGAGCTAAGCAACCTGGGTACTCAGGGCCCAGAAGTACATGAAGCAGAGACCAACAGGGTGGGGTGAGTGACAAGGCTGGAAAGCTGGAAGGGAGCCTGCTCCCAGCTTGGTCAGCCTGTGGGAGAATCCAGAATTTAATCTCTCTGAAGCTGGAAGACAGGAACCCTTTCTGCAGGGAAGGGACTAGATCTCTAGTTTCCCAAGATCCCCTCAGGGCTGCTGCTAGGGTCAGAGCACATGGTGGCGGCAGCAGCGAAGGTAAGAAGTGGCCTGAGGTGCATTAGGGAACTTGCTAACAGTGTGGGAAGTTCAGCTGAATTCCAAATGAGGGACCAGAGTGTGTTGGTAGTGACCAAGACAGACTGGGAGAGGGGCAGGCAGGGGAGGGGTGGGCAGACCCAGGGTGCTGTCTGCCATGTGGGTCTGGGAGGTGCTTGTCAGACACAGCAGTCAGTGGTGAGCAGATGGAACCGAGAACCATGGCTCGGAGGGGTTACATGGGGTAGGAGGAGCACAGACAGTGGCACCAGTAGATACTGAGGGTCTAGCTGGAAGGAGAGACTGCTTCATGTGAAAATGGGTGACTGCTGCAGGCCAATGGGAATGGGATCAGGGACAGCTGCAGGGATGTGCAAGAAGAAACAGGACCTAAATACACATGCAGAGTCAAAAGTGAGGTCCACAAACTCTTCTTCTTTGTTTTCCCCAATACTGGGGACTGAACCCAGGGCCTTTACCTGATCTATATCCCCAGCCCTTTTTATTACAGGGTCTTGCTAAATCACTAAGTTATCCAGGCTGGGCTCAAAAATTCAATCTTCTTGCCTCAGCCTCCTAGATGCTAGGATCACAAGAGTGCACTCAGCTAACCACTTTTGTTGGAGAGGACACGACTACAGGTCAGGAAGCTGAGGGGCTGGGGGACTTGGGAGGCACAGGTGAGCTCATCCCTCAGCTCAACTTCAGTGGGAAGTATGAGGTCAGGACTGTGGCTGAGGAGCGAGCTGGGCCAGGGCTCCTGGTCCAAATCTGAGGCAGAAATTTTAGTGAAACTGGCTGCTTTCAGAACAGTTCAGTTGCTGAGGTACCATTGGATCTTGCTAGGTACAGAGGCCTTAAAGAGGTCAGCTTCAAGCAGAGGGGAGGTCCTTTGGTCACTACAGTTTATACACCTCTGTAACAGATGGAACTCCAATTATTTCTGATTCAGTAGCCAACAGCAGAAACACCTATCACTTAAACAAGAATTTATTTCCAGGATTATATTTTTACTATAGGTTTAAGATTTAATATAATTTAATTCACATAGAAAGACAACTGTGGAGACTATCTGGGTATAACAACGACTTGCAGAGAGGTGGGATAACTGAGGTCCCACTCAGGCCTGGGCTGACACCAGCTTGCTCATGCCAGAGAAGTAGGCTTTCTCCCTTTCACTCATCACTTCAAAGTGCAACGGCCGCCTGCAGAAGTTGCACTCCGCAGAGGAGTGTGGCTTCAGTTCCAGCCCCACTTGCTTCCATGTGGCCAGCAGATTCTCTGCAAAGAGAAGCAATTTTGAAATATTATGTGTTTTCCTAAGAGAAATGAAAACATCTGTCTACACAAAAACTTGTACACAAACATTCACAGGACCACTGTTCCTAACAGCCAGAAAGTGAAAACCGAAAGGTCTGTGAGCTGATGAATAAACAAGATGTGGAAATCTTTGATAATAAGATTAGTGAAGTGCTGATTACTGCTACACATGGATGAACTTTAACAACAGTGCTATGGGAGCCAGGGGCGTTGGCACACACCTATAATCCCAGCACTGTGGGAGGCTGAGGGAGGAGGATCACAAGTTCAAACCCAGTTTAGGCAACTGAGTGACTTAGTGAGATCCTGCCTCAAAATAAAATTTTTTGAAAAGAGCTGGGGATGTAGCTCAGTATGAAGGTGCAGAGTTCCATCTCCAGTAAACACACACACACACCCCCACACACACCCCCCCCACACACAAATAATAAACAAAAAATACAATTTTAAAAATTAAAGAAAAAAATAGGGCAGGGATGTAGCTCAGCAGTGCAGCACTTGCCTGGCAAGCACAAGGCTCTAAGTTAGACTCTCAGTACCAAAACAAAAAACCAAAAAATTAAAAGAATAAAAACCACTGTGCTGTAAAGAGGCCAGGCATAAAGGACCACATGTCCATATGGCTTCTCTCATACGAAATGTCCCAAACAGGCAAATCCTCAGAGAGAAGCAGAGAAACAGTGGGCAAAGCTGGAAGGCTGACTGCTAATGGGCTCAGGGTTTTTCTTGGGGAGATAAAAATGTTCTGGAATCAGATATTGTACATGCCATGAATTCACCTAAAAACCACTCAATTGTGTGTTTTTTTGAGACAGGGTCTCACTTTGTAGTGCAGGTTGGCCTTGAAATCACTAGGTAGCCCAGGCTGGCCTTAAACTCTCGAAGCAATCTTCCTGCCTCAGCCTCCTGAATGCTGGGATTACAGGCAGGCATGCACCACCACACCAAGTTTCAACAATATATTTTAAAACAGTGAAGTTTGTGGCATATGAATCATATCTCAATCAGGCTATAAAAATAAACAGGAAAACAACAGTCAGAGTTGGACCTTATTTCACAAGCCTGCAGGGAAGAAGCTGCTCCAATGTTAACAAACTACAGTTTAAAGCATTTTGGGGTCTAGGAGTGGGCTCCTTCCCTTGATTCAATGTCTAGCAACAAAAAACAAAACAAAACAGAAAACCTGAGTATTTCTTTTTTTGTCTGGTTTTTTTTTTTTTTTTTTTGTTTTTTTTTTAGGTATACAATTCATTTACATTTATCATTGGGTGTTTGTACCT